TGGCCCCTTTTTTTTTTTTTTTTTTTGGACAATGGAAATAAATTCTATCCCTAATTGTAAAAAAAAAAAGAAAAAAAATCTTTTAATTGACAATTTCTATGTAAAACAAAATCAAACGAACACAAAAAGATAAATGATTTTCTTAATTTTTTTTATTTTTACTTTTTTGTCAATGAAAACAAATTTCATTTTCAATAACAGTAAATTCTATCCATTTAATTGACAATTTCATATAAAATAAAGCCAAACGACTAAAAAAAACACTTTTATTTTAACATTTTTCACATGAAAAATTATACCAATCAAACACAATAATTGACAATTACCAGTAAAACAATTTTTAAACAATTCAATTCCCTGAATTCGTTTTCTTTCCATCAAAATTTCACTTTGCAATCAAAAGGACCCTCAGAGATGACAAAATTTCCCGTCCTATCTTTTATCAATAGTAAAGGATGGGGATGAGGAATATGGTGATGTGATCCAGGAGCCGCAAGCAACCAAATCAAGTCCAACGTCAAGCCCGGGGAAAGATCCATTGAAAGTCGAAAGTGGACCTATGACACGAGAGAGGACAATGCGAGTGAAAGAGGCGATGAGATTACTCGTCAAGACAACCATCGATGATATCATGTTCGGGACTTAAAATGGGACAAGTTTCGTGTTCGGGTCGAAGGTCGAAACCAATTGGATCAACATGATACAAGCAGCCAAAGATGGAGTTGGAGAGAAGAACCATGCGAACGCATGGTTAAAACCGTCCTGCGGTCGCACGAAGTGAGGCAGAGAATTATTCGGAATTTTCCAATGTTCCAAGCGACCGCATGATTTTACATCATGCGACCGCATGGTTCAAATTTGACATGTTTTTTTTATTTTTTTCGCGAATTTCCTACTTTTGATAGAATTTGACACTTAGTAGATTTCTTACCATATTTGAAATATTAGGCACGTTTTTACCTAATTTTTTAATTACTATTTTATTTTTCAATTGTAAGAAACTTTTGACATTATTCGTAATTTGAGAGGCTATATTGTTTTCAACTTTTGTTCTACAATTGAACAATTCAAGAACTTATCAAGATTTAATCTTGTGGCGTTCAAATCAATCGGGTGAGACTCCATCTTTTTGTGTAATCAAGAGGTCCGCACATCGTCAACGATTTGGGTTGCTTGGTTCCAGATCTATTGAATTTAATTCAAAACCTTGCTTTGGCTTTCTTGGGAAGATTTCAATCTTATTCGTG